TTCAGGGCTTTAAAAAACTTGAAAGGCTGTTTACTCCTCATTTTTCAATGCAGCTAATGGGACTTTCATTCATACCCTACTTTCAACAGTTAAGGAAATTTCTCCAATGTTCCCAGCCAGTTTCCTCCTAGGACTGAGGTCTCCAAGCCCTGCCGTCCCTGCCAGGCCTTCCTGAGACCCCCTTCTTGTCCATGCTCCTGTCTCAGAAGCAATAGGGAGAACAGGGCAGGGTAAGGATGGGCAGAGCCCACAACAGGAGGAAACAAGAAGCCAGAGTAAGGATGGGTGGCACCCCACTCAATATGGTGACAGAGAGGGAGGGAAGAAGAGAGAGAGAGGAGAGATTGCTGTGAAGTCTCCCTTCCCTCAGGACTACATCTGAGCCTTCCAAGCACTGTCCCGGGCAGTCCCAGCCCAATTTCGCCAGGACCCCACCCAGTTCTGAACATTTAAAGGCCAAACAATGAACAGGATCAGACACATTTAGCAATAGTCACAGAGTTTCTGATTTGGTTTTCTCAGCTGCCACAAACATTTAATATAAACATAATTTTTTTTCCTTAAAGCTTCTTTCCAGGCTTGGTGGTGCACACCCACAGTCCTGGCTACTAGGGAGGGGTGGCATGGGTCCAGGAGGTCAGAGCCAGCCTGGCAACATAAAGACCTAGTGTGAAAAAATCCCTAGCATTTCCTTTTGTCTCTTAGTGTGTTGGAATCATGCCTCTTTGCTTTATCTCACTGCAACAGAACATGTTCTGTTAAGTCTGGAAGTTATATTATCTATCGAGAATGTAGCACTAAGTTCTCATGGAGCCACAGACTCAGTATCCCATGCTGCTTATGTCTCCCCTCAGTGTGACATGTTTGTCATAGTCAATCAACCAAAATGGATGTATGCTTCTTAGCTCTGTCTGCATTTTACCCAGGCCTTCCTAGTCTGGGCTCTGTCCAGAATGCAGTTCAACACTTCCTTCTCAGCTCCACTTGGCTGTGCCAGTTTTCCCAGGCTTCCCTTACTTTTGATGACCTTGACAGTTCTGAGCGCTGGTTTGATGTGTTCTCATGTGTCCCTCAGGGATGATGTGCCAAGGCTGCAGTTTGGGGAGGACGTCATAGACATAAAGTGCTCCTTCCTCACATGGTGTTATTGGGACACCCTAACAGTGTGGCTTGTCCCTGAGCTCAGTCATGACTCCCAGAGAATGCTGAAGACACTTGTATTGCCTTTCACATGTTAGAGAGTATCTAAATATATCTGGCATAAATTTAAACAGTTCTGAAGGATATAATTCTTGGCATAGAGTATATATTAATTTTTACAATCAAGTTGAAGCATCATTTTATGCAGAGCCAATGAATATAAATACCAAATGATCTAATGTCCACAACCATTGATTTTAAAGCAGATTTGAACAGGAGTTTTGGTCTGGGTATACAGAGTCACAGAAAATGACAACCTTCACCTTTTTTTTTTCAGTACCAGGGATTGAACCCAGGGGTGCCTAGCCACTGAGCCACATCCCCTGCCCTTTTTATATTTTATTTCCATACACGGTCTCATTGAGTTGCTCAGGGCCTCACTAAATTGCTGAGGATGGCTCTGAACTTGTGATCCTCCTGCTTCAGCCTCCTGAGCCACTGGGATTACAGGCATCTGCCATGGTGCCTGGCTACCACCATCCTCACTCTTAAAAGCAAATTCAGTTGAATAAATAAGCAAGCTTCCAAAATAGAATCCAGGTAGAATGTAAAGATACTTAAATAAATTAAGCTCAGAAAGCGACAAGTCCTTCACAGGAAAGAAGAGATCTATGACTGGTCCCATGAAGGGATGCAAAGAAGCCAGCCTGGCCCTGGGCACACACTGACCAGCTGCATCAGTGCTCACAGGATGCATCCATCCTGAGGATCTCCACCAACCTGTGATAGGCTTTCTCCTGCGCATGTCTACTCATCAGCCTTGACTGAGTACAGAGGATAATTTTCCCAAAACAAGGGGCCAGAAAAGGAAAGCTGAGATATATTTCTCTTTGAGTTGTGCAGAGATTCTCCCAAGGGCATAACTTCTTGGAAAGGTGGAGGGTGTTGGGGGAAACAGAGAAAAGTTGGGAGAAATCCACCCAGAGCTTCTAGGTCTCCATAGCACAAGCTGGGAGCTACTTCCTATGGTTCCAAAATTTGGCAGCTGAACCTTAAAGCTCAGGAAGGTTTCTGGAATTTTTCCAGTGCTTTGGTATGAGGCCCAATGGAGAGGAATGTCTGGGTCATGCCCTTAAAGCATTTGAAGCCAGTGATGAACAAAAATCCTACAGGTGCAAAAGGAACCCCAGGTCACACATGGCTCAGACTGTCTGGGTCCTACTTGGGAAGCTAGATGGAAAACAGGTGTTCTCCTCAGCATATATTACTTTCTCTAAGCTACTGATCTCTTAAAAATGGCCACTCTTTAAAAGGTTGCAGTGCATAAAAAAGAACAAGAAAATGTGACTCATGATCAAGAGAGCAAATAGTCAACAGAAATAGACTCCAAGATGCCCAGCTGATGGACTTTCCAAAACAGGTAGAAATAACTGTGATGGAAATGATGAGAGCTATGGAGTGAAGGTGGGCACAGAGTGAAAGGATGAGGGATCTGATACTCTACCTCACCTGTAAAACACAATGTGGAATTTTATGCAAATGCTGTTTGGAAGTCCTTTATTAATTCCTCAGTCACATTTCTCTGCATAAAATGTGTATATATTTTTAAAGTTTATTTCTTATGATCGTAAAACTTTTGAAATTTTAAACTTCTTCTCATTTTTGCCATTTTAATTATCAACATAATTATTGGTAGTATATAACTGATTAAAACAACATAAATACACTACAAATTTTGATGGATGTTATTAAAGTTTAAATGACTTTATTGGAATTGCATCATTTAATGAGATAAATTGAGTCCTTTCTTTCCCATTAGTTCATATATCCTTAAATAAGTGTTTCCTTTTAACAGAATGAGAGAGGCTTTTTCCATTGATTCTACTCCTATTAGCTGTTATGAGCCAGGCTATATGGGCAATGACCAAACAAACTCCATTTTACCCTGAGACTCCATGTCTTATGAAATGCTTCTCCCATGGGAACACTGTACCTATCAATAGTTTCTTAGTATATAGCCTGTTTAGCAACACAAATGGCAATTCTTATACAATGTAATATTGTTCTTTCTTTGATTCTCATTTTTCTTGAGCAATGTATCCTGTCAGAGATTGATTGTCTAGAGGCTAGTAACCATTCTCTAACTCAACTGGGGTCATTTTGACCCACTTCCCTTCTGCTTGCTTGCTGCTATGCCAACCTGGAAAGACACATGGGAAATACTAATGTACCCAATGCATTGTTTTGCTAACTGCTCAATTCAGCTTCTGTACCCCTACTTGCTTGCAGCTATGTCAACTGTGGTTTTTGCCTTTAAAGACCCTGAAATGCTCAGGCTGGAGGCTGTTTCCAGTCGAGACTACTTGGTCCTGTAGGATGCAGTCCCAGTCAGACAATAAAGACTCCTCAATTTGGACAAAACTGGGACTTGGTGTGTTTTCTGAGCAACTGACTCACAACATTTACCTTTTCAAATAAACCTGATAAAACTTAACATATAAATACACATATGAGAGTGCATAAGACTTTAGTTGCTTCTCAAGTCTCTAAACTCCAGTTATACCCTTGAAATTACAGTGTCCATGATCAAGCACTGTTTTGACTGATCTTTTGGCTGACAGTTGGATTGGGTCCTCTTCAATTTCATTGAAAACAAAGAACCAGAAACTCTCTGATGTGCAGAATTATACTGGTTGCTGAGAGATGAGAATCTGTTCCTTTCTCAAAATCAGCATCTGCATTTCATGTCTTGGAGGTTTTTTTTCCAGATTGGCAAATACAGCATACTAAGTTTGGGCGGATGAGGAAATGACACTATTTTTCTAAGTAAGGGGGTGATTGTGAAAGAGGAAGTGGAAAAGGAGAAATAGCAGGAAGTGTGTTTTCAAGCCCACGGAATTGGAATTCTGTGAACTTTTGTCCATAAATTCCATCCAGACCCTCAGACTCCATGGAAAGCCTTTGTGTGCCCCCAGTTTGAATGCCACAGGCTGGAACCACCCACACAGGAGGTAGAACATGGAGGCATGCCTCTGGGCATTTGTGGAATGCAAGGTTGCTAGACAGGAAGTGACCATACATCCGATTCCTCACCAGTGATAATGAAGGTAACACCTAAGGAGACGTGATGTCTACTGAGAGCTTCTGACAGTTTTCAATCTAAACACATCAGCCAGACACAATGGAAACAATGATCAGTGCCACATGGTAATAGCGGGGTGTGCCCAAAAGCTAGCCCTGAGTACTCAGCATGTCATGGACGGGAGATGATATGATTTTACAGGCTTCATGGTATTTGGACAGGTCTTGTGTCACCAGATACTATTCTGCATTGAAACAAGGCTTATATTATAAATCAGAGGGTGGATTCCAAGAATTCTTGGCAGAATGATTTGTGCGGAAAGCTGCACTGGTGGCCCCCATTGGTACAAAGAACAGCAACGTGGTAATTTGAAGGTGGAACATCTTCCATAATGGCTAAAGTGAATATGACTCACTGTACCAAGGCCAACATGGATGTGGGATGTGGGAGGGCATGAAATAGTATAACCTCTCTGGAAAAATCACTGGGCAATTTCTTATACCACTTAGCACAGCAATCCCACTCCTAGTTATTTACCCAAGGGAAATGAAAACTTGCATTCACACAACAACCTGTACAGGGATGTTATACATAAATTGGAAATGACTAAACATTCTTCCATAGGAGGATGGATAAATGAACAGAGGCACAACCATTCCCTGATACTACTCAGCCACAGAAAGTTGCTGATATTCACAACAAGGCAAATGACTCTGAAAAGCCCGTTAAGTGAAAGAAGCTGGGTTTGCACACTAAGTAAGTCTGTGTGTGTTCCAGCAGGAAGGCATTGGATGGAGAACAGATGAGCTGTTGCCATGGCCTGAGGCTGGAGGATGATCTGACTATAAAGAACCACCCTGAGAAAACATGGGTGAGCCTGCATGATTCTTTGCATGCTTATTGTGATGGTGGCTACCTGGATCTGTGCATATGCCAAGATTCATAGAAGTTTATAGAAAACAGAAAAACCTTTAACTTTAAAAACTCTTAGCATTAAAAAGAAGAAAGGGCATGATTTGCTAGCATGGCTGGTGGGGAGAGCCTGAGAACTAGGATGTGCCAATCAAAGCAATGTACTGTTGCCCCTGCAGGTCCATGATGCTGACCAGGAGTCCTTTCTTCTATCCCTCTCCCTTCACTGTGTGCAAAATCAACTGGTGAGAGAGAGTCTCACCCACAAGGTTTCCTCATGTCCTATGGTCCAAAAGAACAGTTTAGGAAGAGCAACTACTACCAACCAGTATTTCCACACAATGAAGTTCATTCTTCAATGAAACCTCTCTAAGACCTTACAAGTTCAAGGGTATGTAGCCTGGTTTTAGTTTCCTCTCCTTAGAATAATATCCTTGTGATATATTTGACTAAGCTGTGTTTCAAAACTGGAATATGTATGTCTAATTCCTGCTTTCTTTTTCTATTATCTTTTTTGGCTCAACAGGGAAGAGATATTGTTAATTCCTAGAATTCAAAATTAAATATTTGGACCATGGATTCATCCCCTCAGGACTAAAGACCAATTAAGCACCTCCTAAATCCTGATGTTTACTTGAAAAAAATCACATGAATATCATTATCTCCTACCACCAGTTTAATCTGAAATTTTTTTTCACAGAGTTGGAGGAAAAGGGATCCTATCATATTTTAGTGATATCAGAACTCACATAAAGGTGACTTCAAACAAGCACCTTTGAAATAGGGATTGCAAGAAGGCCAATATAGGAAGTAATAGGCTTTTATATCTTCTCTTTGATGGAATTGTGGGCATCTGATAAATTTGGAATTTTAACTTCATTCTCATAGTCAATGTGTATGTGATGGGGAGATTGCCAATAGCTGAATATGAATTAATTTCAACATGGAAGAAAAAAATCTGATTCAGGAACACTATTTTCTTTTAAAAATATTCATGACAATCATAGAAAACATTTCTTGACTGTTTATTATATTTCAGTACTATTTTGATTTACATTCATTTTCTCATCTATTCCTCTGCTAAATTCTCACACAATACTTGGATTTCCCACCCTTCATTTTGCATCCGGGATTCAACTGTCCCACATCTTAAATGAATATTTAAAAAAATGCTTTGCCACTTTGGATTTATAGGCAATTTAGTAATCTTTGTACACAAGCAAACTGATATTTTCTTTAGGTTTCACTGCATAAAAAGTAAAAGAAAATGCAACTACTTTGAGGCTGATGTAATTTTATCTTGGGAAATTGTCTCCTTATAACTCCTGAGGGACGTGCTCTATCACAGGAGTGGCACTTTTCAGGGATCTATGTTCTGTCTTCAGCATAAGCTGAGTGGATGTGCACATCAAGCAAGGACTGCACCTGAGCGACTGGCAGAAGATGCTCACATCCCTGTGGTGGCCTCCCCTGATGGGTCCACAGTCAGGGACACGTGCAGGCATTTCTTCACCTCAGGGCTGCATATGAACCTTCTTGGACACTCTGGTGGCTGTTATTTAAACTCCACGAGCTCAGTCTCATTGCATCCTTCCATGGACAGTCTCCCCACACCAGGGAAATCCCTCTGCGTGGGCCATCCCTGCACCAGCAAGCCTTGGCCATCCTCACAGGCACGACTCCTGCACTCTACTCCACCTTCCAGGAGAAGCGAACCTGTGAACAAGGGAATGTGCCTGTCTAAAACAGCGCGAAGATCAGGCCATTTTCTTTAATTCCATAAAGAATGAACCCTTCAGTGTTTTACAAGGTAAAAAAAAAAAAATTCACAGACTGAAGGGGAAGAATATGGTTGTGGAGACAGACTGGAGGTCAGGCCCTGACTGGATTGTTGATTAGCTTTGTGATCTTGAGCTTCCTTGACCTCAACATTTTTGACCATAAAGATAAGAATACTGATAGAATTGCTCTAAGGACATATAAAAGAAAGAGCAGCCTTTTAACGAGCAGCTGCTATGAGCAAGAACAGGCTAGGAGCTAGAGGTCCAGACTTTAGAGTCTCTGACTTCGGGCACTTACAGCTGAGTTGTGATGAATAAATAAGGAGGTGACTTCACTAGAATACGCTGAGTGGTGTGGATGGGGCAGCACAGACAGGGCAGTGGCCATCTAGGAAGGGGATAGCTTGAAGAGGTGGAGCCTGAGCAACAGTCCCGCTGAGGACTGGGACCAGCAGAACCTATGCAAAGACCCTGGACCTGTGCCACTGTGCAGTAGACAGAGGCACAGGTCCCCACTGCCACAGGGCTCTATGGGCAAGCACTTTGTGACTCTGGGTGATTTAAACAGAAAAGGTCATGACCAGGTCTGTGCACTGGAACACTCACCCTGCAGGAGGCAGGTGAGGAGGTAGATATGGGAAAGTGTGGGGACCATAGAGTCTGAGTACCCATGGAGAGAGAAAAGTGGATAGAGTCATTGAGCAGGCAAAAGGGGCAAGACTTGGTCTTGTGATGTGGGAGCTTCTGGATCAATGTGTCCACTGTAGCATTCTCCTGGGGGTGTGGAGGGATAGCAAGCTAAGAAGCCAGGTTTGGACATGCAGACCTAGAAAAATCATGGGATGTTGAGTGGATGCTGTGGGTGCCTACACCTGCTCTGTGCTCAGTGTATGCACCTGGGACTCACCCCTGAAGGCATATCCCTGTGTATTCATATTCTGCTCAGTGCACACACCTGTGACTTTTAACCTGCTCTGTGCGCTCACCTGTGACTTGCCCCTTATTGCTTGAATAGTGTATACACCTGGGACTTTTCTACCTGCTCAGTATGCACACTTAGACTTTTCCACCTGTGGACTTTTGCTCCTCTTTTCAAGGGACATCCAAATGAAAGTGAAGGTGCATTAACACCCTCAGAAGCACTTGGGCAGTAGTGGGTAGAGTTAAGGACAAATATTCCAGTTTTGGCTTTCTGGTGGGCTCCTGAAAGGAAGGACATATCTAAAGTGTCTTCTTACTGTGCCCAGCAGAAGCGAGCCCCAGTGCTCACAGTGGAACTGTGCTTCACGACAGAAGCCCGCTTCCTACGTGGCCTCCTGAGGGCCCTGCTGGAGCCTGCTGAGACACCTAAAGCAGCTCCTTCCACTGCAGTCCTTGTCTTGGAGTCTGCCTCGGGGACTTGCCCCTGGACACTCCCAGGAGGCTTTGCAGCACAGAGGCCTGGGTCTTGGAAGAGAGGTCTGAAGGGGAGAAGTCAATGCAGAAACTCCTGGAACAAGAGGAAGTTGAGACAGAGGAGGAGAAAAAAAACCCTGGAGAGGGGATGAGTGGGGAGCCCTTGGGATGAAGTTAAAAGAAAAATAACTCAAGCATAGTATGGATACCAGGTTCCAGATCCCTTTCACATGACAGTATATGGCAGGAAAGTTACAAAAGTTGTCTAATTATCTTGTAGTTATATAATCAATTTAATTTATAGTTCTTCTGCAGTACCTTGAAAACGGAGTATTTACTGGTTCTTTATGAGCTGTAACACTTTATGGCCTGTCAGGGCGTTGATGGATAACAGTGCACTGAAAAATAATCATGTAAGATTACCTTAAAACACGTATCGGTATCTGTCATTTTGACAGTGGAATTGCAATACTATAAATCTACAAAGATTAAAAATTTTAAGTGGAATGTTCTAAGTCAAATATTTATTAAAATACCTCAGCTGCACCAAAGGAGGAAACAGAAACAAAATATTAATTCGGTTGAGGACATTTGCTGGGATTCTGGGACCACAGAAGGCCTTACATTTTTTCAGACCTTGATCTGCCATTATCAATGACAGATAATTCCCACACTAGTGTGCAGTCTTACAAGATGCTGCCTCTCCAGGGACAGGGACAGGCAACATATAGAAAAGGAATTGCTGACAGGCACACTAGCGGCAGCCCACCGTATGCACCTGAGCTTGCCCCTGGTGACCGAGTGCTGGCTTTACACTGCCACACACCACTGAGGCTCTGTTGCTCTTCCTCCTGTGTCTCCTGCACTCCCTTCTGTAGACCAGGCTGTTGGAAGATTCTGAGCATAGACCACACAGATTGATCATTAGTGTTCCAATGTTTCACCAACTGGAGATCGACAGATGCTACTCGGAGTTTGGATGAACACGACATAAGCATGCGGCCACTCCGGCTCCAAGACAGCTCTAGCCAGTTGAGTACTGAGGCCACACATACCTCTCTTTCATTTCTGTTTTCAGCAGGAAACTCTCCAACAGATTCAGTGAGCACTGGAGTTCTAACACGCTACCATCATGCTACCTGACGCACCGCTCCATCATGAAGAGGAAGCTGGACGCGCTGGGGACTGAAAGCGGACGAGAGCTCATGGCCATGGGTGGGCGTGGCATGACTCTCAACACAAAGGCTTCTACAGGAGCACCCAGGAACCTAAGTCTGGAGCCAGGTCCTTCCCCTGCAGCAGAGCAGGAAGGGAGGAGGGAACAGCTAGGGCAGGGGATGTGCTGGCTGATTTCCCCATGGAATGCTCCCCTGTTCCTACAAGGGGACACACATTTTATTTTACATATGAGGTCACACAAGTAAAAGTTTTGTCCAAGGACACGTAGCCTCTGAAGCCACACACCCCACCCCCAACAGCAAAGGCCAACTCCCAGTCCATGTAGACCTGATGATGGACTCAGCTTCCTGCCTAAGATCCTTCACTGATTCCCCATTCCCAGAAGCAGAGCCTGGCCCCTATTGTGTGCCCAAGGCTGCAGTTGCCTGCGTGGGTCAGCTGGGTGCACTCTAGTCACAGGTGCCAGGGCACATTGGACAGGCCATGGCACTGTACCACCGGGGCTCCACTGTTCCTCCTTCTGCCTGAAGTTGGCCCCCTGGAAAAACCGCTCACACCTCAGATCATGTCCCCAGTGTCCGAATAGCATCTTCTGGAAAGCTGGCCTTCCTTATTCTTGTAACTGAGCACCATCTCTCAGGAGCTGCCTTTCCCTGTCCCAATGCCCATGTCAGTGTGTTGACACCTTTCTTCACAGCCACAGTAACTAATTTACGCTTTTCACATTCCTCTGTCTTCCAAAACTACAAATTCCTCAGGGATGGGAGTCCCATCCTGCACCCATATACTTCTCAGACACCACTTTGTAAGTAGCATGCTCTGTAATGGAGGAAATGCTGCCCTTGCTGTCCAGTACATAACCACTAGCCATACATTTTTGTGTTTTGAGACACTGAGCTGTGATTTCATGCAACTGAGGAACTGGATTTTTCAACTGCATTTAATTTTAAGTGATTTAGATCAGAACAGGTACATGTGACTAGTGGCTGCATGTTGGCTGGTGGAGCTCCAGGGCCCGGGAAGGGTCTGGGTCACAC